ATGTGCTGGTGATGTATTCAGTGTGAAGGTCTTTAGTTTAAACCCCTGTACTGGGAAAAAAAAAAAGCTGTGTAGGCTGCAAGTGCCCGCAACCCCATAACGAGAGGCTAAACCTGGATTGCAGTTTGAGCCCAGTTTGGTCAATACTTCCAGGACTATCTCAAAATTTAAAAACAATGTTTTTAAAGGGACAAGGCAGGCCTGTGAGGTTGGCTTAAGTCCCAGAGACAATAGGAGGCAGAAATATTTATTCGCAAGAGAAGTGCAGAAACATCTCAGGGGTCGGAAGCAGAGACATCAGCATGTTCCAGGCCCCAGAGTCAGAGCACTTTTAAGCCTGAGGTAGGGCTGGAGCTTGGGCCGGGGAAGGGAATGGGGGATGGAATGAAGAAGTCAGCTGGCATTCAGTCTAGATTATGGGAGCATTAAGCCAACATGTCAGCCTTTTGTTATAAATAGAAAAAGGAATAATAAGAATAAAATAAATACACAGAAGAATTGGGGGGTGTTGTTGGGACAGGAAGGGAAGATTGGAGACTAGACGGGGCATCACTCTCTTTTGGCTACTTCTGCTGTGTTGGGCATCTTTGTTCAGGGTTACGGTTTTTCCACCCCTGATGAGAGATTTCTGCATTTCTGGTTTTTTATTTTGTTTTATTGTTGTTTCTTTGAGGAGAAGGATGCGGTCCACATGTTGAGTGAAGATTTGGATGTTTAGGTGATATGCATAATGGTGCAGAACATCAATGTCCCACTGGTTCTGGATCCTGATTAGGAACTGTGAGATTTTACTGAGGCTCTCCTCTAGGTGCTGCAATAAACTTTGGCAGAAGGTGAAAGAACTGGTCAGTTTTTCCACTGCAACAGCTACGTCTGTGGCCATCTCTAATATTAGAAAGGGGGTTAGAGGGGCTGCCCTTTTTACTGGCTGTAGTCAGTGGTGGGGATGAGGAGGCGCTGGTTGGTGTGGGATACATTAATATTGGGGCACAAACAGGCTAAGGTACATGTCCCTGTCCCATTAGTGGGTAAGCACAAAAAGGGCTGTTGGCCACACAGGGAAAAGACTCCTGTTTGGAACAGCCACGTTGAGAGCTGTAAAGAGAAGGTGTTGTAAAGTATAGGCCCCAACATGGAGCTGAAGGATTGGGATCCCTCTCTCAGACCAAGATGGAACAGGCTAAGGAGGCCCGATTGAAGGTTGTATTAATACAGAGTTATTGAGGGATGAGATGCTGATGAGCTCTCATGGAAATAATCTAGGGGGCATGTGAGTAATTAGGCCTGGGGAGAAGACTGAAGATGTAGGTGGTACTGAGTAATGGAGAGACTGCATGAACTTTCTGTTCACCTCAAGTGAGGTTTTATAATTGATCCAGTGAGTTTGGTAGTCTCAGAAACTCCTGATAGTGATGTTTTCCTTGCTTTGAGAAGAATTTTCCTTAAAGGGACTGTTAGGTGTTGGCTCCTGTAGAGGTGGCTTGGTACATGAAGGAAGTGTCTAGGGTTATGGAAGCAATAGAGTGGGAAGTTGCAAGGAATTTAGAGAAATTAGTGCTGTAAGTCTGAAAGAGTTTGGTAGTCCTGTGTGGCACAGCTATTGGGTGTGTGTTAAGGAGGTCATTGGCTGGATCTTTGAAGGGCGGGCCTAAGCCCTTTTGTAGAGCATGTTGAGTCTGGCTGTTTATCATGCAAATTTGGGGGTGGGGACTCCATATAAACTGAAGAAGACAGAGACAGACACAGCAAGCATTCTTGAGCCACAGAGGGATTTCTCCTGTTTAACAGCTTGAAGGTGAGATTGAAGGAATGCTCTTAACATGGCCTAGAAGTAATCCTTTTATAGGGGTTAATGGTATGGAGAAAAAAAGAGGGGGTTATGAAGATTGGGTAGATCATGGCAATCTTGGGGGAGGGATGAACTGAAGCCCAGTGGTGTAAGGGGCCTCTAGTCAGGTTGAGAGGCCATCAGAGGAAAAATCTATGAAATTTCCTATTAGTTGTTTTCAAGGAGGAGCAAAATAAGGTAATAGAGGAGAAGAGGGTTATTCACGTGTTAGTTCACAGTTTATTTGTGTTGTGCCTTGTTAGGGTAGAAGACAGAGTCTTTGAGGCAACCTTGATAGGAGCATGATGAGAAGCAACTGCAGGGTATTTAGTGTCCCACCAATGGCACTGACTTTTTGGGGGTAGAATGGAGGTAAAGTTTGTGTACTCTGTATTGAGGAGAGGGGTGAGCTAAAGACAAGAAGAACAGCTAAGGTTGGATGGTAGTGGTAGAATGTATAATTCAAAATGCACCTCACCTCCTTAAGGGGGGTGGAGAGGTTAGGAGTGCTGGAAAGGTATATGCAAAAATGGTTGCTTTCAACGTGTAAAGCAGAAGTTTGGTAAAGACTGGTTTGGAGATAAGGCCATGGACCCCAAAACAGCAATAGAGGAGAGGACCAGAAGTCCTTTGTGTTCTTCTCAAATGTTGTGCCTATGTCTAGAAGAAAACAGACTGGCTTATCTGCTACTGTGAGACAAGCCCTGGGTTCTGTTGTGGTGATGGAGATCACAGGAGCCCCAAGACTTGGGCCTAGTCAGTCAGTCGTCCTCAGCAGCCATTTCTAGCAGACTTGGGAAGGACAAGTTACGGTTGGCCTTGGGACTGGAGCAACTAGCCCCATTCCCAGAGGTCTGGGAACAGTGTAACTTCTAATGTCCCTTTTGCCCACAGGCTGGACACGGCTTGACTGGGTGCCCAGGGTTTGGACAATCCTTGGCTCAGTGTCCTTCAGTGTTCATTTGAAACAAGGTCTTGGAGGCTCTGTGGAGGCTTTGTTTCTTTTTTGCTGATTACCTTGAAATGCAGATAGCAGTAGCTGGTATTTAATCTGTTTCTGTTTGATCATTTCCTGGTCTCTATTATCAAAGACCTTGAAGGCTGATGAAATGAGATCTTTTTGAGAGGTCTGTGAACCCTCCTCTAATTTTTGGAGTTCCATTCTGATATCTGAAGAGCACTGGAAAATAAAGTATGGGTCAATGCAATTCTCCTGCTTCTGAATCAGGATCTACAGTGGTGTATTTTAAAATGGTCTCAATGAGTCTGTTCATGAAGGCCACTGGATTTTCACCCCATTTTAAAGTGATTTCTTCACTTGTGTCATAAATTAGTACCTAAATGCTGCCTTTTCTTTCTATCAAGTGGAGTATAAAAAGAAGCATATCACTTAACTTAGGAGACTCAGTCTTATGATTCCATTGGGGTCACTGCCAAGAATGGTAATGATACCAGGCACACTGGGTTTGGTTCTCACACATGGACAGTCCATAAAAGCTGTGGCAGAGCCCAGATGCATGTATTTTATTTGGGGTGAGGTGATAGAAATAAGGATAAAGTAAACATCTGCCAAGTGAGCCTGTAGGAGTGGGTGAGATGCTAGATTTCCTTGGATGGTGAAGTGAGTAGGCTCTATGGTGTAGGATCCTAGGTGTTTCTTAGTTGGGAGCAGTCAGAAGGGAAAAGGGAACATGGACGTGCACATTCCCTTCCATTCTGCCACCTCACAGAGAGGACAGAGGCTGGCAGAGGTTGTGGTTGAAGAGAGAGCTGGTGTGCATGACAGTGGGCGGTGGATGGAGAGAAAGATGGTAGAAAGGGAGAAGATGTAAATGAGAGGAAACCTCTGATGGTGGAGTTGGGAAGACCAGAGGAATGTGAGGGTGGGAGGAGGTGGGGAGGAGGAAGAAGGAGCTGAAGCTTGAGGAAGATATGCAGGTGGAAGTGTGTTGTCAGAGGGATTGAATTCAGGTCCCAAGAGAGATTTAGAGTCAAATCTAGATGGATCACAAAGAGGAGAATTTGGGATGTAGTATAGGATGAGTGGTGAAGGGTGACTGAGAACATGGAAAAATGCCTGTACACAAGGCCCTTCTGATCACTTGCCCTTGTGCTGAATAAAGTCGTCTAAATGTAGAAGTGTTTGGTACTCAAATGTGTCATGCTTTGGCCACCAGGGATTGTTATCTATTTGATATTATGGGCAGATAGTGTTATGGAGAAAAATAAATTATTTTCATTTGATAGCTCCCCCTCCCAGGTACAGGATTTTAAGATATTTAAAGCCAAAACTAAGGTGAGTCTTTGGGTGGTCAGAAGGCTGAGCTGGAGTTGCCCAGTGTTGAGTGGGTGGGGTCTCTAGGCCAAATGCATAGAAAATCACAGAGATATAGGTATCCTTAAATAATCTCAGGGAAACAGTGGCCACCAGCAGGAGGCCAGTGTCTTGTGTCTCCTGAGGGACTAGGCCGAGGGGATAGTGACCCAAACCTGGGAGGACCTAAACCTTGAGAGAGGATTTATGGACAGATGGATGGAAGAAAGGAGCAAGGTCCTCCAGAGGAGACCTAGAGACTCACTGGACTTCTAGGAGTTGACTTCCTGTATCAGAGGAACAGCCCAGTGTCATGTGGAAGGATGGCAATAGCAAGGGTAGCCTTAAGGATCAGTCACCTCACACAGGACTCCTGGGTTTGAGCACCAAGTACTGAGTTGATTTAAGACCCAGAAATGATGAATCAAGGCAGAACTAGTAGCACAACAAGTAGAGCAGTATTTTGGGTGCCTGAAATGGAGACTTCCTGCATGCCCCAGAAGGCAAGGCAGAAGCTTTCAAGCCTGGGGTAAGGAAGGGAACTTGGTCTGGGGAGTAGAGTGAGGGATGGAATGAGGAAGTCAGTGGCCTTAAATAGAGAGTGGAAGTTCCGCTGCTGGGGGCCTTCCAACTAACAATGCCCATAAGAGCAAATGGCCTGCTAGGGGTCAGTGTCAGTGTTGCAGAGGAGGAATAAAAGCCTGCATTACATCACAAGGCTGTAAACCCAACAGTGTGAGGCAGTACAGCAGGAGGATGGTCATTGCCAGCCCAGACAGATGGTTTTAGCCTCTTAGCAAGTCCTTGTCATGAAATTAAGAATAAAAATTTCAAAAGGACTGTGGATGAATCTCAGTGCAGAGGCGTTGGGTTCAGTGGGCCAGAGTTGTAGTGGACAATACAGGAAAAAACAAAAAGCAAAGAACAACTCCTTGAATAACTAAACTATCATTGCAGAACTGCGACCAAACCACTGAGCTGCAGCCCTCTTGTCAGCCCTCAGAGTCTCTGGTACCAGTGGAGGAGGTGAGGTACCCACAGATGTCTCCCTAAAGAATGTAAAGGTGGTCAGGTCTTAGTCTTATGTAGGCAGCATCATGTCTTCAGAGAAAGAAATACAGATTCTGAGTGCCTGACAGGACCCCAGGTGGGGACTTTGAGTGAATTCTCAAGGTTATACCCACCCCAAGCCAGAGAGTGCACCACAGTATCTAGGTCCTATTGTCTCTTCTGGATGTCCCATGCCTGAGGTGTTTCAAAACTCCCTTCTGGGCTATGTCAGAAAGTTGAAGTCTGGACTGATAGAGATGACAGGCGGCACATTTACAGCCACTTTCCAATATGAAGAGAGCATGTGAGGTTGTGAGAACGCTAGTAGCTGACAGAGGAGGATCCAAAAGGTCTCCCCCTGCTGTCAGCTTTGGGAGACCAACAGGACAGATAAGAGCCTGTGGATGTCTCTCGTTTCCTTCTGCCATCTCAGGGAAATTTCAGTTTTATTCAGAGTATACAACTGGATTCTGTCAGATTCACAGAAGTAATGCTGTGTTTTTAGGGGTTTCAGTAAAATATATCTGAAGGAAAAGACACCACATGCACATGCATGTGTGGTCTCACTGTTCACATGGAACTCTGGGTAGTTTTCAGCAGAGAATCCGGAAGAGACACCCACTCACTACCACATGGTATTTAGTGGGAAGAAGATGTTGCAGTGGGAGGGTGAACTCAGGCCTATGAGGACTCAGGGACCCTGACAGAATATCCACCGAAACCACATACTCTGGAATAAAGGGTCATCCTGATGTTCTGCACAAATCCTTTGGTCAACTCTGAGAAGAACGAGGAGCAGTAACAAACAGGTCAGATGATTTCAGATTGTCCTTATATTTTTTTTTAGAGCCGTGAGTGCTGCAGTCTGAGGGAGCGTGACCAGATCATCAGACAGAATTCCCAGGTGCGCTAGGGATTTAAGGTAAGAACTCTGAGTTAGTAGTGGGAGAGCCACTCAGCTGAGAACACAGGTGGCCCCACAATGTGCATCCATGTTGTCCATCGTGGGATGTTAAGCCACACATATGTAATATCCCACCAGTTCTTCCTACTTTTCTGTCTTTTTTTTTTTTTTTGGTGTGTGTGTTTTTGAGATGGGGTCACGCTATGAAGTTCAGACTGTCCATGAGCTCACTTTGTAGCCCAGGTTGGCCTTGAACTCAAAACAATCCTCCTGCCTCACCCTCCCAAGTGCTGGAATTACAGGTGTGCACCACCACGCCTGGCTCCTACTAGTTCTTTAGGAGATGAGTTCTTAGCATACGGAGGGGACAGCAGGCCAACAAAGAGAGTCATACAGGAGCAGAAGCTGATGTGTAGAGTAAAGATTAAACAGATATTTATGATAGAACATCTGGGGCCTTCATAACTCCACTGTGGCTCTGCATTAATTCATTGGAAACTCCTCGCAGCAATGGTCAGAATTTCTACAGTCTCATTTGATTTTCATGGGTGTCAGCATATTGAGTGTCTTGGTATCAAAGGCAGCCTCAGATCAACCTACAGGTAAGTGCATAATGGGTCCTAGGAAGTGAGGTGAGTTCAAACACCAAAACTATTAACCACATAAGTATAAAAGGGACCAAAGAAACTCCATTTCTGCTGTCAGTACAGGATGTCCCAGGCAGGTATCACCTGAAGAGGTATTCCTTCTTTTCCTACCTAGGCTCCCAGAGAAGGGAGTATTTTGCTGTGTAGGGTCCAGATCATATCAGGTCAGATGAAGAATGAGTCAGAAAGCCAACCAAGATCGGAGTGAGACACTGAAGAGGTGTGAGGAGTCTACCTATGCTTACCCTGAGGTCTTCACTTTGTTGTAAGCCAGGTTTGGTAGATGGAGTAGACATCTAACCCCTTCCTTCCTAATTGTCCCATGGATGTGAGGTCTTTTTCTGTCAGAAGTGATGACAGTTATCAGAAATGGGGACTGTAGCTCTGTAGGGAGAGATTAAACACTGACGAAGATGCATTGCTCCAGGAAAGCCCCAGAATCAGGACAATATGATGTACATCTCAGAGCAGAGTGATCCCGACAGAATTCAGTCTGCCACAGCACTTGAGAAACTGAGGCAAATATGGCTGCATGTGAGGATCCTGACTCTTCCTGAACAGTCCTAATGACATAAGCTCTCAGTAAAAGTCAGCAATGTCAATTCAGAGGACAGAAAGTGTAGCACACATTGTAGAGAGCCGTGGTGTTGACCTTGACAGAGCAAAGTGATAGCCGCCTTCCCAACTATAAATGAGAATTGACATACTGACCACAATCTCCTTTCATTCCATCAGGAAATCTGGACATGAATGGCCCCAAGGCTCACCAGCTCACCTCATGCACTGGTGTTTTTGGGAGGTGTTGGTGTTGGTAGGAATGTTGTATGTTGAGAATCCAGTGTACATGGTGCCCAGGAAATGTGAGGAGTTAATACGGAGACATGGAATTGGGACTGAAAAGAATCCACCAAAGGCATAGGGTCACCAATTACCCTGACAATTTTACCCAGCCAGGGAGCCGTCGGTAGCTTTCAACTGAAGAGTTGCCCACAGTTTTACTTCTGGGGAGTTTTCAGGCAAGATCATTGGTCTCAGTGTGTGGTTGTGATGACACGAAGAGTGAGAAAAGATCACTTAGAGTGGAGACTTAGTTCAGTCACCGAGAAAGCCAACCGAGAGCACCCAGAGTTTGAGAGCCTTCTAGGAGTAGCAGTAAAGCTGCGGACTGTCAGTCTTTCATGTAGAATATTAGTGTAAGAGAAAAGAACAGAAGAAAAGCAGTTTTGGCAGGGAGCTTTCTCCAGCCTAGGCAGTTTTTTGGGGGCAAAGGGGAAGAACAATGGCTAGACACAACATGCCTTGCTCATTTGAAGTACTTGTGCTTTAACAACCCACTTCTCACAGAGCCTACATACTTTCTCCCAGCAGTTTAACCATTCTCTCATTGGCCAAGAACCCCACGACAGTTCTTTTTTTTTTTTTTTTTTTTTTTTAAG